GACATGCTGAGGATCTCTACTAACTTAAATGCTAAATCAGTAATTTATAGTAATTTATTTAGATGATAATCTAATCACTTACTAAGCAATTACAAAAACCAATTGTCCTTGGTGTGAAGCCCTCCAGGATTAGTCAATCAAAGAAACTCCCCTCCTCAAAGACCTTGCAGACTGAAGGAATTTACTGTCTGAAGGGGCACATGACTCATTATGGGATGCACAGGGAAAAGCACTTGGGTATTCTGTAAAATACAGGACGTTTTTAAGGCGATTGATGGAACATGTAAGACATTATGTAATGCTTAGGGAAAGGACCAATGGAGGGAAAAAAGAAGGATCAAGATGGCTTAGGAAAGAACATACATGGGAAAGCAGAGGAAAACATGGCTTAAAAGGGTTGATTGAGTATAAACAGGTTGCTAGTTAGTGTATTCCTCTGATGGAGTGCTTCACTTCATCACCACTGTGTGCCCCATCCTCTCGTTAAATCCTACTTCTTCATTGTGAGTGCAGTCTCTACTCTTAGTACATATGGGTGAACACCAGCAAACTTCAAGCTAGGCTCACCAATAAGAGATCTGGATACCAGCAAGAGGAGCATGGCTGCAAACCTCTGGTGTTTCCCTGTCTGGGTGCCAGCAGCATAGGAGGCCACTGGGATGGATAAACTACCTATGCAAACGTGTGTGTGTGTGTGTGTGTGTGTGTGTGTGTGTGTGTTTTTTCATTGATTACTTATCATCTGGGAAACAGAATCAGGCTGTCAGTTCTGCTCACAGTCCCCCTTGCTGTGCACTGGGGCTCCAGAGCTGTTCCCCAGCCCATGGACCCCATCCTGCACCACAATCAGAGTCCTCCCAGCCAGGAGGAGAACTTGGCCTTTGCTCAAGCTGTACTCCACGTAGCTCACTTCTCCAGCCTACAAAGGTTCCTCCAGAGGGTGATCCTCTCGTTCAGCATACTCACCGCTTCCCCCAGTTTGGTACCATCTCCAGACATGTCCTGGTCTTGCTATCCCTTCATTCAGCTTAAGAAAGATCTTAAATTGCCTTGCCTTAGCATTGCCCCCGGGGACACCACTGCTCACCAACCATGAGACCTCACACCACTGACGTTAACTCTCAGAGCCCAGTGATCCAGGTCACTTTTAAGCCCACTGATCTCATTCCTTGGACACCAAGTATACCATGCTAAAGGCCTTGCTAAAGTCAAGTTGTCCAAGTGCTCTTCCCTTCTCCAGTGCTCTTCCCTTCTCCAGAGTCTGTCATCTCTTCAGAAAAGGCAATCAGGCACCAATGGGCCAGGCACAAGTTGTTCTGGTAAATCCCTCTTGGTCATTTCCCCTCCAGTTCTTGGGAAATAGTCTCCCTCTCCATCATTTGCCTGGGGACTGAGGAGAGGCTGATGGCCAGTCATCCCCCAGACTCTCCTTACACTTCTGAAAGATGGTGCAATGCTAGACTCATGAACATCAGCCAATCCAGCCTTTCACAATATGTAAGATCAGCCAGCTCCCTTTCCTGCCCCACTCATCAGTGGGACCATAGCTTCCTTCCCCTCCCTGTGCTGCTGAAGCACACAGGGAAGCCTTGGTTTTTCACAGGAAGCCCTCCATGGCAACTTGTATTTTTGGCCCCTTGTCCTGTGACTGTGCAGTTGTGGAGATAAATCTTGTTTAATTTGCAAATGCTTTACATGAGGAATTCCAGAAGTTGCCCTGACCTTTACAGACAGCACCACAGGAGCAGTGGCTTAGCACACATTCCACACCTGCTGCAAAGGCTGTGGTGCATGGTGTGGATGTTCTGCTGGCTTACATAAAGTCAAGGAAAACGTTGTTTGGGGTTTTTTTGGTTGTGTTTTGTTTTGTTTCTTCCTACAGAGCAGAAATACAGGCATATAGTATCTTAAATATGAATAGGTTTGTAGTTTTCTTCTTCAACTTGAATATATTTACAATATTCATCACACTCTGGATCTTTAGGACCATCCTGGCCCTATATTACACCCTTTGAGTGGCAGTGAGCCACAATGACCAATGATGATCTAGTGAAATCTGGTAGAGAAAGCTATAGACCACTGTAACTGGCTGAACCTGGCTCTGACCAGCAGCAAAGATGTTGTGTGGAAGAATTTACCACGTGTCAAAATTTTATCCAAACAGAGAAGTCAAAAACATTCCTGCTCAGAACATATTTAAGGAGTTTGTGCCTGTGCACAGGGTACTCCTGAGAAAGCTGCAGCCCAGGCTGTTAACATGTCACAGCAGGGATGACACAGGACTTGGACAGAAGAAACTGATATGCTCAGACCATGAGAAACCATCCCATGTGCCATTCCTGCTTCCTACGTTGCTTATCTCCTTGTCTGAGGTTTAAGACATGCTGAACATGACAAGGGAAGTTGGGATGAGGAAGAAGGGGGAACAGCTAACTAGTGAGATGGGAATGTCAGTTCAGGCATTTGCTTTCTCTGTACATTCAGATGAACTGCCAAAACTTTGTGTTGATTTAAAATAAAATTATTTTTACATAATTCCCTAGTTCAAGTTTGTTTGCCTACGGCAAGAACCAACCAATTTCTTCACTGCTTCAGCTTTGCATTTCCATAGCCCAAAAGCTGATAAAGTTAAAATAGAATTTCTTTTACCTATACCCAAAGAGAAAGGGTGAAAAAGAATAAAAATGGCAATTCTGAAGTTGAAAGCACCATGTTTACTTGAGGTATCACCCAAATTCATGTGTTTAACCTGACACAGAGATGCAGTCTTCCTTCTTCCTTTATTTCCTGGTCCTGAAGACATAATAACAGAGTTTGTCCAAACCATTTATTTTCTCCTGGATTCAATCTGGACATCTTTCAAATTCAAAGGAGAAAGGGGACACTATGATTATTTAACTAAGTAACCTGAAGAAATGCAACTTTAATAGACACACAGTAGTTTAGAATCTACTATTTGACAAAATGTCTAAGAGAGAACCAGAAGCAAAAAAATATCAGAAGGAAGGAATAAAATACCTTGTCAATGTTACCCCACACTTCTTTAGGATTCTGTACCCTAGAAGCAACTTCCCCTCCACCTCTTCTATCTCTTTATTAACACCCTTTCTCTCTGAGTCAAATCTCTTATATTCTGTATGAATGTTATGGAGGATTGCTTAAGAATTAACCAAGTAAGCAAATGGAGAAGATGTCGATAATCTCCATATGGTTGCTAGGTAACAAGTAACTAGAAAAATACCAATAATTATGAAAATGGGAAATGTGTACAACATTCACAAATACAAACTTTTTTTAATATTACATAATTTGCAGTGAAAGAAAATTTATTAGAAGTATTTAATTCGCAAACTTCCAACAGGTCACAGTGAATGACATTAAGATCCAGTAGACTCTTCTCCAGATGAACAATATGTAGCCAGGGTAATGAAAATTTATTTTCATTATTGTTTTTACAGCTGAAAAAAATTTCATTATTAGTGATCAAGATGGCCTACTATTAATGTATGAAAACTAAAGGCCTACTTTTTGGGATTTGCTCTATCTGAAACATGAGATGAAAAGTGTATCAGTGATCCTAACAAATGTGCTGTCAGCTACATAGCGCTTAAAAGCTTTTTATTTTCAGATTTATAACAAAAGTTAAAGTTCCCTGTATACTTCTCTTCTGCTACATCTCTAATACATTTAGATTAAATTCTGTTGGCTGCTAACATCAACAAAAATACGAGGCAAAAAATCCCACATAAAGAATACTGATACTCTGGATACTAATCAACCTGTAACTTCTTGACAGAAGCATGGAAAACAACATTGTTAGGAACTAATTATAGCACATTCAAGTGAAGTAGCTAGACAGGACACTAGGGGAAAGGTAATGCAAGCACAACTTTTAATCTGTGGATAACTTAGCCCATTAAACTATTTTCCTGCTCATGGTTCATAACACTTTACCCTAGTGTGGAAAACATGATCAAATGTTCAGCACAGTGGCCATCAACTTGATTTAATATTTATACATTAATAAAAAGAAACAACATTTCTGCAGTGAACAGACTCCACAGAAGATTCACTACTCTGTTAGCCCATTAGCATTTCTTATTCACTACCTGAAGTGCAGATCAAAATCCATTACAGATAATGATTGCGTTCATTTTACAAAGAAAATACTGCCTTTAAATAAAAATGCTGCCTATGCAAAAGAAATTTTAAAAAATCTCATACCTGGGATATTTGTAACAATAATTCAGTAATTTAATAATTTCAATGCACACACTAGAAACAAACAACAACAAAAAACCAAACCAAAACAAAACAAAAACCACCAAAACCCAAGGCTAATGAATATAAGAACTTGTGAACAGCACCAAGAAATCATTCATATTTTTAGGATTCTTTCTAAGAAGGTTAAAAAAATTGTATGTGCAAAAGATCTTTTCAGTGCCCAGGAGGCACTGGTCTTTGTTTATAATAACATGTAAATTTTTAAATTCAAATCATTTAACATTGCCATTCTGTTATTTGGAGAGTGCTATAATGACAACTATAGCACAAAGTTATCCATTAAAAAAACAGTGTATTTCAATTCAACATTTTTAAAGCAAACTCAGTTTTTAAAACACGACAGGCCCTTCAAATCCTGATCTTGACTAAAATAAAAGAGGTTACTCTTCAAATACTGCACTACAGTTTAAAGCTACTTTTTTCCTTCTTCCATTCTAGTGACAGTGGCCATAGCAATGCAGAACTACACACCACACACTTATTTTCTATTTTTCACTTTATGAGAGTGGTTCTGATCCATGGCTGTGAAGAAGAGGCAGATAGCAGCTGTGATGAACACATGGACACCCTCATAAAGTAGTTTTGGAGAGAAGACACTCCATATGAACAGGTGGTAACGCAGACCTGTTATCAAAACAGTGTAGATGGCAACTGGAATTGAACGCATTAGAACGTAGCAGAAACAGCCATGGCCCACTGCCGCTGAATTCCTGGTGACAAAAACAAGAGGAGTTAATTCTCAGGCAAACTTAGTAAATACATCCAAGTTCCTCCATTTTAGCATTATTTCACAACACAAAGAATATTCACAGATCTCCAGTTTGTGTTAGAAAATTGATTATTGATACAACAATGTAGCTAATAAAGCTTGTCCTTATCACCACTATATATCCTGTAATGTGTAAGCATGTTAAGTGTAAGCATAGCAACTGTCACTGCAATAAAGGCAACCAGTGGTTCACCTCATCCTTAGAAGGTTCTATGCTTTAATGTACTTTGTTCTAATTGTTAAATTCTCCACTAAGCAGTTTCAAGATAACTTCATCTCTTGTTGGCCTTCCAGTGCCTTTCCACAGAATCTGGATGGTAAGAATTACTTCAATACGCTTCACAAAGCTGCCTAATCTGTACAACAGATAATCAGGTGGAGTCTGCTCCCCTTGTGAATTGCATAAAACTTGTCAGGGTATACTGCTGCCCATAGCCAGTAACACTGTGCAAAGCAAAATGAAAATTGGGCTATTAGAAAACTTTGCAAAGCTAGCTAATATAACATTCTCCAGAGAATAACATGTTCTCAGGCTTACAGGAGCAATACATTGCATTCCTGTCACAGCAGCTAAGCTCAGCTTGGACCACTGGATTGCAATAAATGTCTGCTCCATGTGGTCCCTATGTGGTCCAAATCTGCCACACTGAGGTATTCTGGTAGGTGACAGGAGTCAGATGAAAATGGAAGTGAAAGGGTTTTCTGCAGTTTGATTGTTCTCCCTCCTCTGAGGTGCCAACTTGCAGCACTGATGCTGGGCTGGCATGTGTCCATTATCCCCAAACCTCATGTGCAGAGACTAATTCACACCAAATTCAGATGCTTACCTGTTCAGACAAAAGGAAGGAATAAACCTATTTCACTGGAATAATAAGCAGAACATTTCGCTCTCCCTATGAAAATATTTTACATCATCAGTTCCCAAAAGAACACATAGGCAAAAAGTGGAAATAATTTACACTGAAATCCTGATATGATAATCTGTTCTGCTCCTCCAGTTTTTAATTCTGATCTTGTTCCAACTAATAAAAATTTAAGATGACTAGTGCTTCTGTGAGATGTAAATTACTCACTTCTGACTAAATAAGCTGCAGAATGCAGTATTTTACATAAACCACTATTCCTTAAACCACTATTATTCCTTAAATCAAAATAATTAGGATACAGTCTTGTTTTCCAGCAAAGTTGGGAGCAAAATTCCCAAGGCTTTCAGTGGAAGGAAGAATAGGCATCAAAATAGCGTTGAAAAATCAGCTAAGAACAGCAGGTGTGAATGATTGCAAAACATTCAGTTCACAGGAAACTATTTCCCTTGCTGCTTAGCCAAGGAAACTGTGACCTGGGAGTGAAATAGGCAGCTCCCTGCTTCTGCATAACTATCTTCGTCTTCAGTGAGCTTGTGTAAATAACCAGCTTTATGTTTAATAACTGATTTTGTTGACAAGGATTAAACAAACTGCAGTTCACTCAGTCTTGGCTATTTTCATGCTGCTATGACTAAAACCAGTATTTGTAGTAGATGATAGAACTGAATAAACAGAGGATATGGTTTTTTTGAGTCAGACAGGCAAACAGGCAATTTCTAAACCATTTTCTAGAGCAAAAAATGCACTTGATAGACTAGCTAGATGAAGGCTATCAGTGGTTGTGGCTATCACATTTATTAAGCTCAGTGATGGGATTTTCAAAGGAATCCTGAAATTGTCCATAAACTAACACATCCAGGTCTTTCAAGAGCCCCACATTTTAAATTAAAATTTAAATTTCAGTCCATATCTTTTTTCCCTAGTTTGTGCTCACTTAACAACACATTTAGTACCCTCTTGTGAAAAATCTTCTAACTGTAAATCAATGGTGTTAATTTTTTAAAAATGTCTACATTTTAATTATGAAGAAACTGGTTGGAAGATTATTTTGAATCTCTGTGTGTTCACTTCTTTGTTCAAAAATAGGTAGACGTAGTATTTTAGATATATTTTATACTGGAATGAGAGCACACAGTAATCTTTACTAGTAACATTTAAATTCTTCAGTTTCACATTATGATTACTAGCAAGGAATCACCAAGTCAACAATTAAATGGTACAATTCTTTCTGGATTCGAATATAGTAAAAAATAATGAACTGTTTTCTGCTTACATAATACCTTTACTTCCAAAGGTCTCAGCACTCGCTTCATCTCTCAACAAAACATAGACACCTAGCTGCAGAGGGAAATCTTGGACAGTTTCACAGTATAACGCAGTGGCACAATTTACAGAAGGCAACAGAAGCACCCTGTAGCCTCAAAGTTAAACTGTTGGTGGGGTTCAATAACAGGATAATTCAGTTTATTTTGGAGCTGATATCAGAGTTCACATCTCTGTTGTTGCAGAAAACAGTACTGGAATGACTGAGCACAAGCAGTTAGACCTAGTCAGTTATTCTGACACTAAGGCAGCAACTTAGTTCTCTGAGCACAGCACCATTTTTTCTTCTTGCCTCTGTCAGGCAACTAATTTGCTGAATAGCTAAGAATAATGACTTTGTGTTATCCTTCTGCTCATTTTACACACACAGAGTGACCTCAGGGTACAGGACTTTGCCAGGCCACAAGGAACACCAGGGATCAGGCTGCTGCTGCTAACATGACCAACACAATCCAGGTAGTTCAGCTAGTGCTTGAGTTATTGCAAAAGAAGTCACAATGAGAGCACAGAAAGCTGGCATGCCACTTGTATTCTACCGTTTATGAGCTGGATGAGTCAGTAATGAATAACCTTGCAACCTCTCAGTGCTGTTTCAGTGGAAACAACAGAAGATTACAGGACACGTCTAAACATCAACCTGTAACTACTCCACACTGAACTGTCTTGGCAGTAGTTAATGCCTTTTCTTATTTAAAGGAGAACAGCATAGAGGGATGTAAACTGTATACATTACCTCCCTGTTCTAACAGAATCGGCACAATATTAAGGCCTCTGCATAATGCAGGAGTAAAAAAATTAGTAGCCAGCCTCTAACACTGAGGTCATTTAGCAAGTTAGCTTCTGGGGAGAAGAAATCCAAATGTGAATGAGAAATCCAAATGTGTTAAAGAGACAAAGCATATCCAAACTTCATGCAAGATTGGTGCTGAAGGTTGCCAGATCCAGAAGAAACAATGCCTTCGGCCACTTACGAAGCAATGAAAACTAAAGATTCACAGCACTGAACACACCATATTTAGACTGAAAACACTAAGTATAGTCTAAAGCACATACTGGCTTTCAACAAAAATAATCCCTTTTAACTGAATATTTAATATGCAGAAAAATATGGCCAAGAAATTGTGCTATTGATAGATTTTCTGCTTCTTTGGCTCTCCTAAATCCTTACTGCCAATGTTTTGTCAACAAATCTTTTACCTTTCAATCTGTCACTAAGGGGCTATTAAAATGCATAATACAAGGTTTATAAAATGAAAAAAAATATGATGCCAAAACCATGAAAGAAAAACAACTCTTTTCTTGTGACAGCATGTCTCCCATTTATATAGAATATCTGGCAGATGTGGCACAAATTTTGTAGTTTAAAAATCAAGTAAAAAAACCCTCCACAGACAGCCCTACAAATACCTCCACAGGGAATTTTAAAATACTGTCTTACATTGCTTCAACCTTTGTTCTAAGCCACCAAACTAAATGGACGGTTTAGAAATATGCAAGCATATGAGTGAGGAATACCCCAGGATTGTCATTTTCTGGGATTGGGGGAAGGGAGTCATGTCTGAGGGTTTCAGTATGAAATGTGTTGAATCCTCTCCATGACAGTTATCCTCAAGCATTTCTGCCCTTCCAGCTCCTCTTCTCCAGCTGAATATCACTGCCTAGATTACCTCTTATTTGGGATACTGAATTTGCATATCCAAAGGCAATTTTTATGATATTAACATTTTTTTACTGTATTAGTATTTTTTACTGTATTAGTGCCACTTTTCTTTCCAGGCTTTCTGCAGTTTCAAGTTTGCAAGATCTCCCTGTTTATTGCTCTCTGAAAATAATTGTCACTTTGTTAATCTGCCCTGTATATATTAATAAAGGGTCGAAGTCAGAAACAAACCTGCGATAGAGTATCTGCAATCTATAAGAAATTCCTCTGACCTAAGTAAATCAATTAGTTTAGCAGCAAGAACAAATGTCTTCTGTCTCTTTCACATGTCTTACTCTTACATAGCACACAATTCTGCATTGCCATGGAAGAACATGTTATATTTTTAGCAGATCCAAGGGAACCAAGAGTTCTTTGGAAATTTATACGATCAGCTCTGGTATAGACTATCAATCAGAACAATATTAATTCTATAGAGTCATGGTTTTTTACACCAAATGCCATCAAATGGACAGATGTCAAAAAGGGCAGTTGCCAGCAAGCTAAAAGGGTTGTCAAGTATATTCTACAGCCATGGAAGTGAAGAAACTTGGAGATAACCATTGATATTCCTGTGCATTCTCCTACCCAGTAAGAAAGGCAGAGAAGCTCAACTATCTGAGCAAGGCAAGTGTCTGTGGTAGTTAAGTTACAGTGGACTGTAGTATGTGTGGACTGTAGTATAGGGTTCAGCAGGTTCTCATGCAGACTTAGCTGTAAAAAAGCTATTAAGATCTGAAACTTCAATTCTCTGCATTTCAGCATCAAGAGCAGGAAAACAGGATCATATCAATGGTTTTGCCTGTTGGCATAAACAGTTGTGCTGGGAGCTTCCTGTCAGAAAGAGAAGTAGTCTCAGTCATCTAGCAGAGGTAACTCTTCTCACTGGCATCCACTGCTAGCTAACCTGCTTAGAACAGAGCTTTATATAAAACACAGGGCATACTATATTGATTAAGTTTCAGATTCCTTCTTCTCTTCTTCAGTCAGGCTTGGGCTCTGAAAATAGTTCCAGAGGAACTCCTTAAACTGGAAATCTAAATAAGATTTATATTGGATTGCAAGTAGGAATCCAGTCATGCTGGCAGTAGGCCAGAAGGTCTCAACAGCCACTTTGAATGGCTACTACCATCATGTAACTGTTAGGGCAAGAAATCAGCTGTACCTTTAATAAAGGCTTTTACAAATCTTGGCAACCTACCTGGAAAGATGTCCGCTAGATCCAATTTGTCCTCTGCATGTGCTCATTTCCCCAAATACTAATCCTGTGGCAATCAACTTAGAAAAGACTGGAAACTCTCTGCTTTTCAGCTTCACCTGATCAGTCCTCACATTCCCTTATAGAAAAGAGAAAACACTTCACAAGCTCAAACATCTGTGACTATTTCAGGATTGCATGCAAAAAGATAGCTAAATTGCACTGTAGTCAACATGGCCATGTAATCTCTAGATTTCTTCACCACAAAGGAGCTACTCCTTTTCAGTAGGTACCTCTGGCTCAGGAAACCTGCTTTCGCCACGCAAGCTATGATTGATATTGATGAGCTCAAGCCATTCTTCCAAGACAGGAATTACATGAAATCCTGAGTGCTCTGCTCGATATGTTTTTCCTCACTACTTCTGTGGTGGGCCATATTGGTATATATGCAGTGACTGTTCCTGCCTGTTATCACTGCCTCAAGCTTTCCCATAAGGCTTTGTTCAGGTTAATCCTCAGCATATGTTACTCTGTTCAGCTCCAAGAAAACCAAGTCTATTCCTGTTGACACCGGCCCAGACTTTAAAGCAAGAAGATATAACTAAAACATTAAAATTCCTAACCAGCAAAACCAAAATTATAGTTATTTCAAAGCCCAGCATTAGTCAGTATTCTACAAGTATTCTTCCAAAATCTACTTAGCATTTCTGAAGACTTCCAGTAGAAAAAAGCCTGAAGCATTTTACAACAGCAACATACATGCAGGTAATAACAAGGAAACTTATAGTTTGATTTCCTGTTAAGGTGCATCTACAGGCTTTCCTGCCCACCTTTGTAAACAAACATCTCTTTTTCATCATTTTAGCTTAAGGTGTAAAGAAAAATTGCATTCAACAGTTGTTCTGGGCAGACAGGCCATGAAGAGACTTTACTGACTGTTACCATGTTATTTAATGAAATTCAAACTTACCAGTTTAGAATATATTAGTCTAACAGGACACACAAACAGTGTCATAAGGCACTTCTAGAGAGGTGAAGCACAAATTACTTAAGTAATATGTAGGAAGTTATTTAAGTATGGGCAGGAAACTGGCCAGCAAGGCCATACTCAGGGTGGTGATCAACGTTTTTTACTCAGGCTGGCAGCCTGTCACAAGCAGGGTCTCCTAGGGATTGATACTGAGCCCCAAGCTGTTCAACATCTTCATAGATGATCTGGATGGTAGGATTGAAAGCACCTTCACCAATTTTGCTGATGACACTAAAATGGGTTGTAAGGTGGACACATCAAAGGGAATGCCATCTTATAGAGAGACCTGGACAGGCTGGAAGAGTGGGCTACCAAGAACTGTCTGATGTTTAATGGAGACAAGTGCAAATTCCCGCACCTGGAACAGAATAACCAAAGAGCCCAGTACAGGCCAAGATCATGAGTCAGTAGAGCACCACTGCAGCAACAAAGGTAAATCAGGTCCTGGGCTGCATCCACAGTGACATTACTAGCAGAGATAGAGATGTGATCATCCCACTCAGTGCTTGTTAGGCCACACCTGGAGTACTGTGTTCAGTTCTGATCCCCACAATTCAAAAAAGACATGGACAGACTGGAGAGGGTCCAAAGGAGGGCCAGAGATGATCCAAGGGCTGGAGAGCCTGCAATACAAGGTAAAGCTGTAGGAGTTAGGTCTGTTCTCCCTGGAGAAGGCTCAGGGAGACCTCATCACAATATTCCAAGGGTGGTTACAAAGAGGATGGAGATGCTCTCATCGAGAGGCAATGGGTACAAGCTGCACCAGGACAGGTTTCGTCTCAGTATAAGACATACCTTTTTTACAGTGAGAACAATCGATCACTGAAACAGTCTCCCCAGGAATGTGGTAGAGTCCCCATCACTGGAAGTTTTCAAGATGTGATTGGACAGGATGCGAGATAATCTCATGTAGGCTCCCTTTCCCATGAAAGGTTGGACCAGATGATCTTTTGAGGTCCCTTCCAACCTGGACTGTTCTATGGTTCTGTATTGGGTCTGGCTGAGCCGGAATTGGTTTTCCCCTACACCAGCCCTCATGGTGCTGTGGTTTATGTTGGGAGCTGGCAGGGTGTTGGTAGCACCCTGGTGTTGTGGCTACTGCTGAGCAGTGCTTACATAGCACCAAGGCTCTTTCCAACATTTTTCCCCCTGCAATGGGACAGGGTGGGCAAGATCTTGGGAGGGGACACAACCAGGACAGCTGACCCGAACTGACCAAAGGGATATTCCAGGCCATATGATGTCTGCTCAGTATAAAGCTGGGAGAAAGGAGGAAGGGGGTGGGGTCATCCTTGGTCCTCCGAGGCAAACACTATGTGTATTGGAGCTCTGCTTCCTGAGAAGGCCCGACATTGCCTGTCCATGGGAAGTAGAGAATAAATCTGTTTTCTTTTTTGCTTCTGCACACGGACCTTTGCTTTTCTAATATTAAAACTGCTTTTGTTTTACCCAGAAGGGTTGTTTTTCTCCTATCTTATTTTCTTTCCCCTCTTTGCCCTGTTGATAAAAAACTGGGAAGGGGGGGAAGTGATGGAGCGACTTGGTGGGTACCTGGCATTTAGCCAAGGTCAAAACACTACAGGTTCTGTGAAGCAATGCTTGCTCTGCTCCACTGAGGGCAGAGTCACTTCTTTCTTGCATTTTTCCATTACAGTAACTATTTTTAAACTTGTGACTTAACTAAAATAAGAGATCTCTCCTCAAATTACTCCTGCCACCCCAATAACACACATTTGAGAAGAACTTACATGCTTCAAGAAAAGGTGTGAGAAAAAAAGACAGAAAAATCTTGGATAAATGCACAAGGACAGTATTCTATCTACTGCAAGCAGAACCAAGCAGTCAGTTATGTTGGCCACAGAACAGAGGACAGAAAACAAATGGTGACAAAGAAAAAAAACTGCAAGAATAATAAGGTGAGACTATTGACAGCAAAAAGTACAGGCTACATCCAGAAACATTTCTACAACAAAGAAGTATGTAAGCAAGTCTACAAATACAGTCCTCTCTTTCCAGAAGTCCCTCTCTGAATCCTCATCTCAATTCAGACTAGCCTAAACATTCTCATGCATGGCAGTGATGCACCAGAGCACATTCTCCAGCAGCTCGGGGAACAGCTGTGCCAGATTGAGTTTTGGATAGGAGATGCAGGTCTGCAAGTCCCCAGCTGAAGTGACTGCACAGGGCCTCTCCCTAAGGCTTGCAGAGATGGTCTTCTTTCCTGTAGCACATATGCTGCTGTTGAAAAGCTGTGTCATCAAGTGGAGGAGTTATAGGAGGAAGAGAGCAGGCGTTGCAGCATTGGAGAGGATGAAAGAGAGCCACAGTCTTCTCAGAGACCCTATAGCTTAAAGGGCCTTGGATGCCAACTGCAGTGCAGACACAGGAAAAGTTTGTCCCTAGCAGAATGTTAAGTGAAAATTCTGTGGAAGGCCAAGGCTGGAAGATAGTGACTTCTTGCATCAAGAGGAAGGCTCCTGCTCCACCTGAAGGCTTTCAACTACAGAAACTAGAGGCAGGTTCACTGTCTTCAAGGCTGAGGATTATCCGGTGGTGCCTTTGAGAGCGCTTATAGGTAAGAATTGAAGAGCAGACCAGTACAGGTCACATTGTAATGGGTGTCTGCTGTAGGCTGTCTGACCAGAAAAAAAAGTAGATGAGACCTTTTACAGACAGCTAGGTATGAGTAGCCTCATGTTTGCAGGCTGTGGTCCTCATGACATACTTCAACCACACCATCTGCTAGAGAGATAACACAGCAAGTCATAAGAATCCAGAAGGTTCCTGGAGAGTATCAGTGACAACTCCCTGACCCAACTGATAAAGAAGCCTATGAGAAGAGGTGCTCTGCTGGATCTCATATTCATAAACAGGGAAAAAACCTGTTGAAATTCAAAGTCAGCCTTGGCTTCAGTGACCATGAGATGGGGACTTCAGAGAGAAGGGAAGAGGGTAAAAAGCCAAATCACAACCCTTGACTTCAGGAAAACAGATTTTGGTTTCTCCAGAGATCTGTTTGAAAATTCTATGGGAAAGACCCTGGATGGAAGAGGGGTCCAAGAAAACTGGCTGGGATTTGAGGATCATCTCCTCCAAGCTCAAGAGCAGTCCATCCCAGTGAGCAAGAATTCAGGCACAAATGCCAGAAGGCCTGCATGGATGAACAAGAAGCATCTGCCAAAAATCTAACATGAAAAGGAACCATACAGAAGGTGGAAGCAGGGACAGATAACTTGCAAGTAACACAGAGACACTGTCCAAGCATATAGAGATGTAGTTAGAAAAGACAAAACCCACCTGGGATTGAATCTGGCAAGGGTTGACAAATGCAACAAGAAGGGCATCTATACAAGTACAGGAATGGGAAAAGAATACCAGGGAAAATATGTTCCTGCTGCTAAAGGAAGCAGGGGACCTGGTGATACAAAACATGGAAAATGCTGAGGTACTGAATACCTTCTTCACCCCAGTCTTTGCTAGTAAGACTGTTCTTCAGAAATCTAAGCACTCACAGACCCAGAGAAAGTAGACAGCAAGGAGGACCCACCCGTGATGGAAGAGGATCAGGTTAGAGAATACTTAAGCAAACTGGACATACGTTAAGTTCATGGGCCCTGATGGGATGCACCCATAAATACTGAGGAAGCTGCCTGATGTCATTGCAAGGGCACACTCCGTCTTTGAATGATCATGGGAATTAAGAAAGTTGTCTGAGGACTGCAAGAAAGCAACTTTCATTCCTATCTTCAAAAAGGAAGACCCAGGGAACAACTGGCCAGTCAGCCTCACCTCGATCTGTGGGAAGGTGATGGAACAACTACTCCTGGAAACCACTTCCAGGCTCATGAACAACAAGATAATCAGGAGTAGTCAGCATGGATTCACCAAAGGGAAGTCATTCTTGACCAACATGATACTCTTCTACAATGAAGTGACTGGCCTGGTAGATGAGGGGAGACCAGTGGATATTGCTTACCTAAACTGTAGTAAGGTTTTTGACACTGTCCTCTGTCAGATCCTCACAGGCAAGCTAATAAGTGTGGGCTGGAAAAGCAGATGGTGAGGGGAATTGAAAACTGTCTTAATGGTCAAGCCAAGGGTGTGGAACA